GTACTCACCCTGGATGGTGAGCAGATAGAAGTAGTCGAGAAGTTCGTGTATCTGGGTAGCTGCAGAAGTGCTGGTGGTGGCGTGAGTGATGAGATCAATGCACGTATAGTGAGAGCCAGAGCGGCTTATGCCAATCTGGGCCATCTTTAGCGCCTTCGTGATGTTAGTCTGGCTGTAAAAGGTCGGATCTACAACGCGTCGGTGAGAGCAGTTTTGCTCTATGCTTGTGAAACCTGGCCTCTCCGAGTTGAGGATGTTAGACGACTCTCTGTGTTCGATCATCGCTGTCTCTGAAGGATTGCTGACATCCAGTCGCAACACCATGTTAGTAATGCAGAGGTTCGGCATCGTGTGTTCAGGTGCAGAGACGATAATGCAATCGATGTCACCATCTTGAAACACCGACTTCGGTGGCTTGGACATGTTCTACGAATGTCGTCCCAGAGAATTCCACGTCGTGCATTATTTGCCGACTCTGGGACTGGTTGGAAGAAGCGGAGAGGTGGTCAGTGTATGACATGGTGTCGTGATATCAAAGAAATCTGCAAAATACTGGCTTCTGTTGGTCCTTTCTGACTCATTGGTTGGAGTTCTGAAATGATGCAACACAGTGGCTAGAGACGTTATCAGATATGGCTCAGAATAGAAGCCAGTGGCGGTACTGCTGTAGGCTTACTTTACTTTCTTCATTAAAAGTGATCGTAACTTCTTGAACTGAAAGAATTCTTCTGGTTGTACATTTCCGCTTCCCCCATTATTATTATTATTATTATTATTACGCCACCTTACACAAATCTGTGGTCGTTATTGTCCTTTTTTTCTTATACACACCTTAACTTTTTGTATCTCTTCCCATTCTCATTGTTTTGTGTGGCATATATATATATATATATATATATATATATATATATATATATATATATATATGGCGCCCCTTGTACCAATATTTATCTGTTCAAATAAATAAAATAATAAATTAACGGTGTATCGCGCACTAGAGTCGTTGGCCATGGTGACACTTGAGGAGGAAGCCGAAAGAGGAAGTTCAGAGTTGAAAGTCGACGTAGGAGGAATAATAGGAATTGAAGAGGGAGACTGATTATGAATGTAGTGATCTTGAGCGCTGTTAGAGGTATGAGGGCAGTTAACACTTTTTGGTTGCCCACACCGTGGGACGGTTCCTCTGGAAGTACCTGAAAAGAAAATTGGGTTAGATGTGGTCCTAGTAATCTAAAAGCGTGACCGCAGTGTTCAAGTGACAACTGCATAAGGCCGGTCACAGACAGCCTTTTGCGAGTAGTTTTCGTATTAGCTCCATGTTTGTTGGGACCTTAACGCCGGAGAGGGAAATCCGTGGGATAAAGTGAGATGTGCATTTATAGGGTCAACCTGTTCTATCTCCACTCTTCCTCGTGAGAAGGCAGCATCACTGTTATGCTGGTTGTCTGAATGAAACACCTTACTGCCGTCACACCTCTGTACAATCAGCAGTACGACTTCACCCTCCAACCTTGAGTTTGCTGCTTTTAGTTTAACCGCTTTTTAACCGACCTGTCTGGCATGGTAAGACCTTGCGGAACGATTGTTCCAGCCAGTATAGCTCAATTAGTTCATTACGATAGGCAAGCTCGACTACCACGTCAAGGTAGCAGCAACGTTCGGAACCCCAGTCAAACCATTAGGCAGGTAGGTCACTGAATGTTGGACCGTTTACCTAAGGTGGATGTTAAACAAAGCACATCAATCAATAGCACTCCATGGATTGTGTCAAGCAGTAGTGGTTGCACTCAGTTTCTTCCACCTTTTCTTACTAACATTTCTGTAATATCGTCATCTTCGTTCTATCTTCGTTTGATCATCAAAGTAGCTACAGTACGATGAAATATTGACCCACGTTACATATTAACTGAGAGGTATGACTTTGACAAAAGCTTGTAGGTCACACCATTCCCGTTGAACTCGATTAGACACCTAATCATAAACACAGATAATCTAGATTGGTGATCTACTTGGTCATAATTTAACGACACATCAGAATTTTATGACACTAAAACTTCAATACAAATTTACTCGCTAACTTAATATGATGTTAAAGATACTTTAATTCTTATTCACAATACTTACCGCCCGATTTATATATCAAATGCAACCACTCTGTCGCTTTAAAATATACATACAGGTACACTGGCCAGATTTAACTTGCAATAAATATATAGTTTGTGATGTATTAGGTCTCATATCTCAATTGTTTATTGATTAAATATAATTGTCTAAGTCGTAGTAGCAGAATGAATAGGGGAAGAATATATTAATTAAATAAACTTAGTCCATTGTGTTTCAGGTAGGAAGTTTACAGTTAACTGAAAATGTGTCTTGACCTTATATAGTCGGGGAGTTCAAATTTAGTCAACTATTTATGCTATTAAAACAAGGATTGGTTAACTTCAGATTAACTTTTTGATAAAGCAGTGTAATTCAATTTGAAGTGACCTGGATTATTCCCTTGTTCAAATTTTGACTGCAATTCGAATAAACTTGGTTGGAATATGGGTATTCTGTTCGAACTCTCTCTACGTATCTATTATGACACGAGTTAATACAGAATAAATGGAATATGATTGACAGTGGAACCCAGCATGTATGTTTCGTCCTTTTTGAGACCCGTCATTTGGACGTGCTCGCGTCCCAGAGTTAATATGATCATCAACTCCAACTGAATTAAAACTCAAGCCCGTTGCACAAATCAGTGGCTAACTGGGCTTAGTAGCTAAGTGGATAACCTCATGGTGTTTGAAGTGAACTTTACTGTGTTTAAGTACCGGGATGCAGACTCATCCAGCTGACGAGTCCCCAATAGAATGAAAGGCACATCTTGGATTTTATTGCTAGTCACATTCCTACCTATGCTGTGTAGTTCTAGTTTAGGGGTTACGAGAATAGCTTAGGAACCGAATATAGAGTTTAATTAGCAAGACTTATCAGTCGTCAACGCTGATATCTGCACAGTTAAAGAAAATTTACGACTTATAAATTTCACTAATTCTATAAAATGCTTTAATTTAGTAACACAGAAAAATAAAGCAGTTATTTAGAGTAAATCGTTATCGGTAAATCTCAATGACTTCATGCTTGAAATTATTTTACAAAATGAAGGCTTTAGCTGGGTACGACTTATTCACAAAAAGAAATGTTTATTAGATCACTCCTTTTGTTGTATTTTACTTTATAGTTGACTGAAAATGTTCGTTTTTTATTGATAATAAATCATGGTTGTTATTTGATAAACAAAATTCTCGTTAAGAATTTTTGATTATCATTGACAATGTACTCCCTATGTTTTAAGTTTCCGCCAATGATACACATTTAATGTGATTAGACTTAATGAATAACTATTCCTCACGTTTCATTAGTTTATCCTTCTGTAAATATTCACCACTTACTGTTTAGTTAATTTCTGATCATAAATCGACCGTACAAATATTCGAACAAACATCCAATTTCATTACTCTTGTAAAGGTTTGAATCTTTTAGTTATTGTTGTTATGAACAGAAACTGATCAGTCTTTTTTAGCATTTGTATACTCTAAGAAAAAAAAACCCTTTGTTTCTATGAAGTTACAAGCTTTTTTAAGCAAGTTGGATATTGGCTGGGAGTGGAATTCAGGACATTTTATCCCATTTGGGACTCATCAGTTCAGTGTTCTCGAATCACTGTTGAATTTCGCAACAGGACTCTAACCCAATGCACTCTAAACGCTTAACACTTTATCCACTTGCCAGTTGTTAGAAATAGTTACCATAGAATGATTGTTACAAAATATTGTTTTTATTTGAAAAACTACTTCGATAATTTTGTTGTAGCAAATGGATCGGTTGAATCTTTAGGGTAATTTAATTTGAGATAATTTTGGTTGAATGGAACCAAATATTATTACAAGCATTATACGATATCAATATCTCTTCAGTTAATGATTATTGTATCAAGTCAATAATAATTTGATTTTTAGCGAATACGATCTACAATGTTTGAGAATCGGATTGTATTTATTATTATCCACATATCTGTTTCATTAGTACATTTTAGCACTTGTAAATATATCTCACACAGCATATATAATTTCATTTAAACAAATAAGTAAACCAATATTGAAGAATGTAGCAGTATTACAACTTATAATGATATTCCAATCAATGAATCCGGTAACATTCATAAATTAACTTACATAAATGGTAGAAGAGAGAAACATTTACGCTTAAAATGTTCCTTATCCTAACTATTATGAGAGTCGTATCATAATGACAAATAACTTACTATTTGAAAGATGGTTACAAGAATTCATGTGCAGATTAGCCATTCAATCAACTGCATATGAATTAGGAGGCGAACATTCGTCACATAAACTAAGTTGGCTTTTTAAACTTGACAGAAAAAAATTTGCATCGATATGACCTAAGAAATTATTGAATAAGATTGTCTGAAACGAGGCCTAAATAGTTTACAATTTTCAAAATAATACCATCTTTTAAAGATCTGTCGTAGTACTAAAAACAATCTAACACTAGACTTTATTCTTTTAGTTTGTATCTTACAGATTGTAAACACTGAAAGTTAGAAAGGAATTTAAATAACATAAGAAATTGCTTGTTGTTATTTTAAAAATCCATAAATTACTTTGGTAATGCAATAAGATTTCAATTAATTACTTATTAGAGTAAACGTTTTATTATGGAAGCTCATAAAAGTTAAATTTCATTAATAATATATTCCTTTTTGAATGACGTAACAGAAGTATCGTATATGCATGTTAATTAACCTTAAACTAAATTGTACAACTTTAGTAAATGACACTATAGACGTATTAAAAATTTACTGTATAAGATATAATGATAAATTTATTATAGTAGAGAATAATATTACAATAACTATGAAATAAATACAATTTATTAAACTAGACTAATTTATTTATTCATTAACTAGATTTATAAGATAAACTATAATTTTAATTAGGAATAATATCATTTGCGAGTACAGTTAACGCTGTCCATAACTGTCTTCCAACTTGTCCAATATATGATGGTGGCAGAAGAAATCCATAACGACCTTCATCACATAATTCTATTGTATAAGCATATGGGATTTTTAATTCACCAGCTACATAGTCGTCTGTTGCTCCAGCTGCTTCATCTGAAGAACAGAAATGAGCCCAATAAAAAAATCAAAGACATAAAAAAAGAAAGCTAAAATACTTGAAACTTTTAAAACTCATTAAATAGGTAAAGCCAATTAAGAATATTTTCAAAGCGAAAATTATATGCCAAAGTTTGAAGGTATTGTACTCTTTGACTTTGATAAATTAGTCATGATGCTTTAATTGTCGCTCCAGAACATACCATCAGCACATACTTCAAAGAGAGATGAACTATTGAAAGTTTTCTACAATTGAATAAAAGTTCTTTCTCTTGACGTTAGTAATTCTTATTTGTGCGTCCGCTGTTTGCATATTTGTTTTGATTGTTTCTAACCCCTGTCATGATCTGTGAACCGAGAAAGGTCAGCAGAACAAGTTGTTAGCCACTAGTGGAAACATTTTAATCACTCACTTCTCTCTGAAATTTTTGTTCATGATACGATGCAAAAGAACAATCACAGTTTCATGAGCGAACCATACAGCTCCCAGAACGCAGTATCACTGAAATCCTCAACCCAAGCTATAAAAATTCCCCAACATGTCGAATCTTACTCATTCATTTTCAAGTACTGATCAATAAGCTGCCTTAGATTGTATTTCGCTAACGGTGTTATCGGTCGTATTTACCGTTAGCAACTAAGTACATTCATTGTCATCGTTTAAAGATCCCCGTCATATTAAAAGACTAATATTTGAACGAAGAATATTCTTTTCGATAAATTATCTTCAGGTTCTACAATTACATATCCAAATTATTAATCCGAAAAATGGCCAAGTTAAGGGTAAAGTACATCGTTTAGGGCATGTGAATTTAGGATTGTGATAAACAAAATACAATAAAATTGTTAATGTTAATATGACTCATAAAAATGTTAACTTGAATCTGCGTATATGTTAAATGAAATTTTAAGATCCATGATCAGAATAAATATGGGTCAAATAGGGTGAGACAGAAATAATAGTGCAATTACAATTCGATCAAATAAGTAAGACGTAATACGGAGGAATGAATGCGAAGTGAATGAATCATGTATAGGGGAGATTAATGATGTTTAACCAATAATAATAATAATAATAATAATAATAATAATAATAATAATAATAATAATAATACAAAGATTTATGAATAAAGATAACAGGGACAATTACAATTGACTACGAAAGGTCATAGTCAAATTGGGTCATTCAATAGTTAAGATTACGATTGATTAATTGGCCTTGATGTTGGCCAGGGGAGGAGGAGTGGCTGAATATATTTCTTCTGTACGCATAGCTCCGGTTTCTTCATTCGGATGGCTACTGCTTCAGCCGTTTGAAGGACTTTCAGTCTGACCAGTTTTGGCAAAAAATTACTGACCTTATAAATAATTGAAAAAGATTGGTTTATACTGGCACTATGACCGGTTTGTACTAAATGGGCCAATATTGAGCTGTTCACCTTCTTCATCAAACCTTTGTTTAACCACGCCGGAAGGTGTTCACGAGCACGAAAATGTAAATTCCTAGAACTTCGACCAATATAACTCGCTCCACAGGAGCAGTTGAACTGATAAATACAAAATGAGGTGGTCATTCTAGGTAATTCATCTTTTAGCTTCGGTGTAACCATTGGGCGCGTAGAAAATACTAATCGCAGTTCTCCGGCGTTAAAAGACTTTTGTATTGTCCTACGTAGTCTCTGAGTTAGTATTTCGCTAGCCGCATCCCCTCTGAATTGTAGACGCATGAACAAGGATTTCTTCTTCACTGTTTGTATTTCGCCTACTTTCGCCTTCGTGACCATATATTTAATTATAAACTTTCTAGGGTAGCCGTTCTCCCTGAGAGTATTATGCAAGGTGGTAAGCTCTTGTTCGACTATATCAGCAGAACATATAGTGCGAATACGGTAGCTAAGGTTTTTGATCAAATTTCGTTTGTACTGTAGAGGTACAAAGCTCAGGAAATTCGTATACTGCCCAGTCCAAGTACTTTTTCTGTTTATATTCCTTTTTAACGATCCATCCGCTCTCTTAGTCAAGAGAACGTCCAAAAAGGCTATTCGGCCATCACTCTCTTCTTCAGATGTAAACTGAATGGCTGGATGCACTTCATTAAATCGTCTAAGAACCTCTTGCGGCGATGTATTATCTTTACAGAGGATGAACGTGTCATCCACGTATCTACAGTAAAATGTGAAGTTGTCAATAATCTTTTTTAGTGGACCATTTTCTAGTTTGGCTAGAAAAATATCAGCTAGTATAGGGCCCAGTGGTGAACCCATTGCAACACCATCAGTTTGTCTATATATTTCCCCGTTGAACTTGAAATTTACATTCATGGTGCATTTGAGTAATAACTCTTTCACGACGCTAATAGGGACAGTAGTTTCAATTTCATTTTCTATCAGCTGTTCACCTATATATTCTACAGTCTCTATGAGTGGGACGTTTGTGAATAACGATGTTACATCCAATGACATCATCTTCAGTCCCAACGTATTTGCGTTTTTGATTTTATCAACAAATTGGAAAACATCCTTAACACTATATTTTACAAGCTGTATTGAAACCTCAATATTGGCCCATTTAGTACAAACCGGTCATAGTGCCAGTATAAACCAATCTTTTTCAATTATTTATAAGGTAAGTAATTTTTTGCCAAAACTGGTCAGACTGAAAGTCCTTCAAACGGCTGAAGCAGTAGCCATCCGAATGAAGAAACCGGAGCTATGCGTACAGAAGAAATATATTCAACCACTCCTCCTCCCCTGGCCAACATCAAGGCCAATTAATCAATCGTAATCTTAACTATTGAATGACCCAATTTGACTATGACCTTTCGTAGTCAATTGTAATTGTCCCTGTTATCTTTATTCATAAATCTTTGTATTATTCGTATTATTATTATTATTATTATTATTATTATTATTATTATTATTATTGGTTAAACATCATTAATCTCCCCTATACATGATTCGTTCACTTCGCATTCATCCCTCCGTATTACGTCTTACTTATTCGATCGAATTGTAATTGCACTATTATTTCTGTCTCACCCTATTTGACCCATATTTATTCTGATCATGGATCTTAAATCTCATTTAACATATACGCAGATTCAGTTAACATTTTTATGAGTCATATTAACATTAACAATTTTATTGTATTTTGTTTATCACAATCCTAAATTCACATGCCCTAAACGATGTACTTTACCCTTAACTTGGCCATTTTTCGGATTAATAATTTGGATATGTAATTGTAGAACCTGAAGATAATTTATCGAAAAGAATATTCTTCGTTCAAATATTAGTCTTTTAACATTCATTGTCTTTATTCTCGACTCCATCATTGATCACTCCTTGTAGCTGTAAAAAGAGATTATGTTTAGTCGCGACTTAATGAATAACGCGTTAAGCGCTTGGAGCAAAAGATTCGATTCCTTGTTTGAACATCAACAATAGTAATGGAACAACCAGTTGACGAGTCTCAAACAGAATTAAACACGCGTCCTAGATTCCACTGTAGGTAACCACCTAACGTTACTAATACTAATAGTGTTGTCTAGAACAACAACAAACATAATATTCAGCTTAGTGAGACTAGCTGTTTAGTGTTTCTTGATTGCTTAATGGATGTTTAATTAAGGTCAATCTATAGTGTAAACTATAAAAGTCAACAATTGTCACAGACTATCTTGATTTTTTTCAAGTTTGGTTTCCGTTATTCGTAATTTACACAAAACTAAAGATTCAGTTTGCATATTATTGTCAGATTTGATAAGATACTCTAAGTTTCATACTGAATAAGCATCAATATTCTTATTTCCACTCTATTAATAAATTATTGTAAAATGAAAATTCAGTAGTATGTAGACAAACATTGTATAAATTCAAAATAAATTCATGACTATAAAGTCTATTGAATATTTGAACTTCAACATATATGAAATGGTTAACCGGAAAGCATTATTCACTTACACAAAAGTTCAGATGATGAACCAACTTGATAAACATAACCATGTCGATTTTGTATCATTTGCTTTACTTTTTTGCCCATTGACATCTAAAAATATTAATAAACATATACCAAACTCAGTAGACAAGTTGAATTAATTGAATAATTGAAAGTAATTTTAAGAACTTAGTAAACGCTTCTTAAGATGTTATGAGATCTAAGCGTTCTCTATTATTTGATTGATTGGCGGTGCTGTTACATATACATTGTGTTCAAATAAAATTCTATCAATCGGTATTCATTTTAAAATGTTTAGTTAATTATATTATTCGCTCCTCGACATATAGAAACAGCTATTTCCACAAATGTCTTTATCAACGGTCCAGTTATTTTAGTAACTCTGGACGTATTATGTAACAATTTATGCTTCATAATTTATACGGGTTGTCACTTTAAACATTTAATTTAAAGATTTAGTTCATATCATTATGTAATTAAATTACCGAATGATCTGGATATAAAACTTAATCAAATACATGTTATTATTTGATATATGTGGTGATTTCAATAGTTTAAAAGTCCCCAGATATGCGATCATGTTTAGCAACTAATAAATATTTATGTACTTGAAGACAAACCAACTGACCACTTTGTCTTATCTAGTGTTATTTAAAATGCTTGCAGTTAGTTTGCCGCTGATTTTTCAACTTCCACCGGTAATTTTTAGTGTAAGTGTAGGTTTAATTGTAATCACTGAGATTTTTTCATCAGTAGTAAGTAATAATCCTTTGTTTTAGTTACCACAAATAATGTTTCTAACGATACTGAGTTTCATAGGCATCTTCAAGTCCCAGAGTAAACATAAACTCTGCGATGCATTTACATCCAGCTGACGAGTCCCAAATAGTACGAAACATGCATCCTGGATTCCATTGCTAGCCACTATTCACCTTTGCTTAAAAATCTTCTAGTGAAGTTGAGAAAATTATTATTATCAAGTTAAATGCCTATGATGTACCTTAACGTGTATTTGCTGAGAAATTTTAATTGCTCACTTCTTTTTGAAGCATGTAATGACGATAGTAAGATGAGAGTGAGTATGAAGGCCTTAAAAACGAACTCACTAATTTAGTTGTTATTTCCAGTAAATCAACCCGATCGATTAAACGACTGATTCATGTAATTAAATAGAAAAGACGTCTGATGTCACAACCCAACTTTAACTTATCGAACAACAGTGGTTACTGTAAGAAATCTTCAAACAGTTACTGATTTCGCATCTTCTGGTTACCAACATTTATGTTACTTAAACTTTGAGTTTTCTTAGTAAAGAACACTGTTAGGTAACTGCTAAGATCATTAGCTTCTGAACAACAACAAGAACAAAGACGATGAAAATTTCGATTAATGATAATTCAAGGTTATTTTTCTCAATATTTTTATTTGTTCATCGTTTTAGGAAAATAGCTTGCTGTTGTTAGTTTTCCTTATATGTACACTTGACTTGTGAAACACGATCATTATCAAGTATGAAGGTATATGATTCTCTCTCGCATGACTTGTATTAGCGTTATAAGATTGAGGACATATGGGAAGCAAGAATTTTTAAAGGAGTCAAGTAAGTGACAACTGGTTAATAAAAGTAGATTTCTATGGTAAATGAATAACTACAATAAACCGTTCATTGAAAAAAGTTTTATTCCTATTATATTTTTTCCTATACCTTACATCACGGAAGCAAAAAATTTATTCTTAGAACATTCTCATGGGTATATAAACTCTAATCTTAATAATTAACATAAACTGGAATTATTAAGACTTACTAATTTTTGGTAATAAGGTGGATAACTGTAACGGGAAAATCCGAAAGGTGTTAGTATATACTGACCAAACGAATGTAAACTCAAGTATAAAATTATTTGATTCTGTAAAGATTTTAACTTTTTAATGATACTTTGTGTTTCCAATTCTGAGGCTGCTTCATTTCCACGATATGTATCACTGCATGAATGGGGTGACGCTCCATTTCCAACTATAAGTTTACAAAATAAAAGGCAACGATTGGTAAAATTTACACCAAATTGAATACAAAATTATCAGAATAGATTTTGTCGAGAGTTTTAGAAATTTGACAGGTTGAAATCATGAGTCAGTTGAAGCTAGACCACCACTGAAATCCTGCAAGCACTGGACGGCCGTTTCGTCCTGGTATGGGACTCCTCAGCAATGCGCATCCACGATTCCGCATCACACGGGGCTCGAACCCAGGACCTACTGGCTTCGCGCGCAAGCACTTGACCACTAGACCACTCAGACGGCATCCAACGGTGTTAATGTCTAACTTCAACCAATCCACGAAGTTGCGCCACCGTACACCATTGTCTTCAGTGAGTTGTTATCTCACCACAGACCGGTTGAACTAATGACTGACTTCAGGAAAAACTCCTGTAGTTCTAGTGAGAAGCCGTTACCAGTGGAGTTCAACCAGGTCTGTTGTGAGATAACAACCCACTGAAGACAATGGTGTACGGTGGCGCAACTTCGTGGATTGGTTGAAGTTAGACATTAACACCGTTGGGTGCCGGCTCAGTGGTCTAGTGGTAAAGTGCTTGCGCGCGAGGCCAGTAGGTCCTGGGTTCGAGCCCCGTGTGATGCGGAATCGTGGATGCGCATTGCTGAGGAGTCCCATACCAGGACGAAACAGCCGTCCAGTGCTTGCAGGATTTCAATGGTGGTCTAGCTTCAACTGACTCATGATTTCAAACTGTGGAATACAAAATTATTTATACTTTTCAAAATGTTATTACCAAGGTTTTACATGGTAATTTCGAATAAATCGAGTATTGGATAGATTAATAATGATAGAAATAATATATTTGTAAAGTCTCATTGTGAGATTATAAATACATTATTTCAATTGTTTGTACTTTTCCAAACTTCGATCAATTATTGATACAGTGCGAATACCATCCACTGCTAGTGATAACAACTGCCTCATTCCTGACTTGTCTAAACTTCACTAGTCATCGTTTTTCATTAGAACATCAGGAACACCTTGTAGTAAGTAACTTGTGAGCTAACATTCTAGTTTATTGGAAAAGGACTTTGGGATATTAGTCTAATTTATAGGTAAACTTACCTCAATTAGATCATATTTCGGGTACAACTCAAAACTAAAGAGCATGGGATGCGAGTGATTATTTCAGCGAATTCACAAACCTGAACGAAATAGCTGTACAGTGTTCTTTGGTTTTTAGTGCCATTCCAGATGAGAACAGTCTGTGACAAATACTAACAATATATTAAACTGGTCCCCAAAATACCTCTTCAAATTGTTTTACACTTATTTATTCTTGTAATTGCTTGTGTTAATCAAGTTTCAATAAATTGGCTCAACATCACAAGATACAGATTCACGTAACCGATGCATTTGACCTTTTTAAAAGAATTCTTTGTATAGCAGAATTATCACTGAGAACATTCAAAACTACTGAGTTGTGTAGTCTTTAGAACTTCATTATTCTTAATTAAATTTGGTTAAATATACCGTCAGTAGAAATAAAATCGAGACATTCTCTCTAAATATAAAAAACAACACTTTAGCACTTTTTTTAAGATATTTATTTTGTAAAAACCAGAAGTTATCAATTACCACTTTAGCAGTAACTACAATACTGAAATTACATATTCAGTTTATGCAAGATGAGAACGTTTCCAAGATAAACCTCATCTTAATAAAAAAGTTTCTTCATAACCTCAAATGAATGTAGTTTACGTATCACATCCAGATAAATACTTAATAGAATTCGGATTTCTGTGAAACTAATCGAAACTTTACCTCACTTTTTAAAATTTTAACTAGTTTACATAACCTTCATGGAATCAGTTCAACGTAGATTAGCAGAAATCAACTTCATTCAACATGAAATATTCGGTTTGTCATGTTGTTTTGCTGTTTTTTCGTAGTTCAAGTATTCACAATCTCATTAGGGATTAATGAAATCATATTTTTTGTGCCACATGGAAAATTACTGTAGGATAATTTACTTAGTAAAATATAACATGAAACTTACCACCCCATTTAAATGGAAAATTTCTATTTAAGTCTATTCCGATGCATGCTTCACCTTCTGTTCGAGCTCGATTTTTACGCCATAGACGATACTGTAATTAAAAGAAAATTCAAACGTTTTCATGATTATCTTAAGACTTAATATCAGATGCCCCCAAATGCCCTGATACGGCCAAGAGTGAGGAGAGTCCTCTCTCCCTCTCGAAATGCTCCCACACGGCCACGCGTATATAGCCTCTGCCAGGGAAGTCCTACTCATTGCCTTCTCGTGGCGGGGGTGTTCACGAAATTGAGAGGACGAAAAGCGAATGTCCGGCGCTTTACCCGGGTTGGTGGATATGAAAAGTCCACCTAGGGGAGTTGGCAAACCCTGATTACAAACCAGTGGTGAACATCGGCTCCAGTATCCTGAAGGAACAAATGGCGTATGAACCAATTTTCAGTCACCGGCTACCATGTGACTGCATCTCCTTACGACACCCCACTGCCATGTGGATCAGACCTTCACGTCAAAGGTTCCGGGTGTGGCTTCCTAAGAAAACCACCTGCTTCGAGTTGGGCACCCGGGCACTATCACAGCCCTCACACACATGAAATGAGATTTGTGTGGCGCATATGTGACTGGTGCCCCTTGTACCAGTATTTATGTGTTCAAATAAATAAATAAATAAATAATATTATCAGATTTACGAATTTAATACTTCAATATTCTTATTTGATTAATATAGTTGTTTGGAATCAACTAATGACCTGTTGAATAACCGAGTTAATTTTCAGCATAATAAACTGTACAAACAATGAGAATTATGCTATTCCATTTATATGGAACTAAAAATTCAAATGAACAAAAATAAAGAAAAACCAAAAGGTATTAATTATTCATGTACCATGAAATTCACAGTAGAATAATCAGAACATTTTCCTCATTGTTTTCAATATTTTTCCCAGTTATAAGGTAAAACTTTAATATCAAATACATTTCGTAATTCGATTCTTTTTAGAACAGGAGAAAATTTGAATTTAAAACTTAAATCATGACAGAATTATGCTCTATCCACCTTGGAATGGAATGTATGTACAGTTCTCTACAAAATATTCGATACCATCAGTTTAAGTAAGTATTATTGGGTATTGAACACACTATATCTGGAAATTGTGAATATTGATTTATGCAACGAGCTGAATTTCGACTCAGTAACTTTTCGACATTTTGCAATCTGTAAGGTATTTAGGTACAGTGTCCAACCATTAGTAACACTAGAGGTTCACAATACTGAGGTGTTATATGGTAAACTGATACGAGCTTTCTATTCTTTCTACTTTTCAACAATGCTCTGACTGATGCCTTTTTTAATGAAATACTTTTTCAAATGCTATTAGTATAACAGTCACTCAATAAATGAATGAAATGTTGAATTTCTTATCGTATTCTTTAAAAAATAATTTAAAAATATACCTTTGTTCTTGTATATTCATATCCATCTGGGTTCATTAGAGGAACTATGAAGAATTGAAAATGTTTTAAAAGTGTTTGTCCTGATGGTCGCATAAGCTATAAATTAAAAAAGACAATTATTTGTACAGTTAAATTATAAAATAAGTTACAGTTTAAATCACGAACTAATCCTGTCAGGCAGTCCCTGAGAACTAGGAAGCATTGAACATTTATTTCAGTCTAGTATGGGACTTTTCATCCATACACATTCGTGTTTCCATAACAAAGGGACAAGCTAGGATCTTCTGTAACGAGCGTGAACGCCTAGCCTGTGGACGACTGAGCTGGGGTCCGGTGATGTACAAGTCTAGGTTTAATCGATTCGTCATATTGTGAGACCATCTCCAATTATCTTCACTGTAAAACTGTCTTCTACAAGTGATTGCTGAGCTACGCTGGTCACAGCTTCTTACTAGCACTCCAAGAATTACATTTTGAAGCTAAACACTAGAGAGCATTTGATAATTATCCTTATAACGGTTGTGGAAGTCACTGAAGGTAGCTGAGATCATGAACCATCTAGGGATTTCAACACCACTCAATAACCTCTACAACTCTCCTACTGATATATGTTCAGTAATAAATGGAATACTTTGTCAAAATGCCATTTACGGTTTTCCTCAAATACATCTGAAACAGGTTAACTTTAAGCTGAGCACTTACAGTTTTTAAAACTAATGAGTTGGAATAAGAAGACAGTTTGCTGAATATTGAATTGTGAATACCATTCATCGCACGATCATTTTTGTATTTTTTTTAAATAAAAGATTTTTCATACCAGTTAAAAACTTTCATTCCCGTTTCGTCCAATAAAATGATTCGTTTCAAAGTGTTAATAATTGGCTAGTCATTTCAGAAAATTGATATAAGTGGTTAATATCTCTTGACTGAAAACATTTTCTCCAAATTGTAAACGTAAGCAACTCACAAAGTACAAGCTCCATTGTTTTTAACGTTGTCATGGACACGGACAACGTATTATTGGGTATTCTGTATCTGGTAGCGTTCCAATCGCTTGAAGCGCTGAAGATCACCACCAGAAATTATGAAAGGACGAGGTACTGCCATTATGCAGTTCACGATTCTCATTTCCATAAGAATCAGAAGCCGTATATCAAATTTGTGCGTAGGAGAAATGGTCGTAGAACACCTAGAAGATCCTTATAGACAATTAGACAAAGGAGGTAAGTTGAATATTATTATTATAATGTCCATCAAGGACTGCATTGAACACTCAATGTTCGGCCTTCATATAATGTAGATTTATTGAAGGTTATTGGGCTATTGTTTGTGAGAACGTGCATCACAATCATGAGTGCAATTCCCTGAGGTACGATAACGATTCTTGGATGAGCGGGTTAACTGACACGGAGTTGGAAACAGTGCGACCTCTTCTGATTTCGAGGATAGCTGCATTCAATATTGTCCACTTCGTTTACCAATCTTATGGGAAGCGCCTGAAGCCGCAAGATATTTTTACATGGTGTTTATAATTTCATGCACCAACTGGTTTATGGAACGATGCTCAAACACCGTTGACGTTATCTGCAGCACCTGAGTGTCAGATTGAGGCCTCCGCTTCCATGGATGGAGAAATGCTAGGAATCTAGCAGACAAGTAGTCTCAATTGTCAAACGAACGTGGATTTGGATGTCACGTCAAGTAATGAAGAAGAGGATATTGTTTCAATAAACTCGGAAGAATTTAATGACAGAGACAACAACACAGACGAACATGCCAACGACAACAGACTGTGTGACATATGCACTCATGCTCAGCAACCAAGTAAAACTGCTGTTGTAGGCGCTTGGGTATTTTGTTGCTGCAATACGTTGTTTCATTTGTCTTGTGGCTTGAACCCACAACCACAATTCCATAGATTCCACTGTCCCATGTGTAGCGCGATGACTGAAGTATAATGGTGTCGTTTTTCGTGACAAGCGGAAATGTGAAGAGTCAAAGTGAAATCCCTTTTCAGGGCTACGCACAATTTGATCTAAATTTTCTTCTTTTATTCGTTACAAATTGTACTAATAAATTTGTCAATCGCATTTCATACGAATTTTCTGTATTTTCGATTACAATTCAGCAGTCATTGTGTTTAACGTTAATTGTCTGCGAATAAGTTTAACAGTTGTATCCTTTGTGTTTTGTACTATTTCAGTAAGACATTCACTAGGCCATGTGTTCTTCACACATGATAATAAAACAAAACGTTCAGTCTTGCAATAACCAAACATTTATTACTTGTGCTAAAGCTAATTTGTGTTAGTATCCATCGATAAGTATTATTTATTATCTCAGTACATGCCATTTGATTAACTGTGAATCAAATGAAATAACCATTTTACTATTTATTAGTACCTGTGATCTCCTTTCCTGCGTAATACAATGCAGCTAATACTGATAAAAATATTGTTTGACTTTTAAGTGTTTACTTAAACTTCATAGAAATAAGTTTCAGTTATGATTAACATTGAATTATTTTACTGTAAGTTGAAAACTATGTACTGAAATCAGATCATCATTGCAACAAAATTATTTCTATGGGGAAGGTCAGACGAACTAACACTAACTATAGCTCACACATGAATAATACTTCTTTATGGTTTATAAAGTGTCTTTTACCGTCAAATGAACACGAATCTGTTTAATAATGGTATATACAAACTTCAATTAAAATGCTTCAATATATTTCAGATTGTTCAGCTGGAAAAATGTAGGATTTTATTTGTTACATTGAAATTTAACGTTCGTATAGCTAAATAACAGTAGATACAATTGATCTTATTAGCATTTCTCAGTCTAATCGACCGAGAAATGTATTGTCAGTCTTAAGCCTGCTAATTAGCACTTAATACAACCATTATTTAAATTACTCATAAAAATGGTCGTTATTGTAACGTTTAGCTGTTTCGGGTTCGATATGAACAGATTCACATATTACAAATATGTACATAGAATTCGTGAGTGTCCCTCTAATATGTTTAACACGCAAATCCAATGATTTGAAAAATGAATGCAGACGTTAATAATAAAAATTTATGCAGTACACCACATGTCACTAATATGTTGAATAAGTTACCTTACGATGAACTACATAATGTGCAGTTAAAAGTGATGATTTTGCAAACCTCAATATTACATTTTTCAAATATTAATAATGTTTGCGTTGTCATTTAGAAATTAAATTGAGAAATTAAGATAATGATTTGGTCTCATTTCATACTTACATAACATTTGCTATTAACATTACGTAACAAAAAGCTTACCGTGCACCTCCCAAACACTAACGGATTTATATTATTACATACACAGAGTTTTATTATCATATTTGTATACTGCTCAACTACATAGAGTGGACAATGAGTAGTTGGAAAGTTTTCTTATGATAGACTTGGTGAATTACTCAATAATTACTCTTTTAACTATAGACGACTGTACTGAGGAAAAAAATATCGCGTTTATCGACACCCTTTTCAAAGAGAAATAAAACAACACTTTCATATTAAAAATTACTGATTCTAAAATCACCCAGACATAAATATTATTTCCTTCTTTCTCTTAAATTAGTAATAATTTAAGAAAGAGTAAACGATTATCCATTTAGCAATCCTTGACGTTTAGCGTGATTAGTACATACCCTATTCATTATCTTGTCACAATGATTTATCCATATGTTTACATGTATATAACGATTATTACAAGATCAAACTATGTGTTAAAATAACTCATTCTAATACGAAAACAAATATCAGTTTACTACTTGTTCATTAAACATCTGATTGGCTTTGAAGTTCAGTGATCACTATTATCAACTATTAAAAACAGTTATCAGTTTTTCCCAGTTTACTTTTAATGACATTCACATTATTTCTTTTGTCATGACACCTAACGACTTCATTTTGATTTCTTGCATTACTACGTCATCATAAAAAAGTTTAATAAACTTCATATCTCAATATCTATTCACAATCAGGAGTATAGCACGGCACTTGAATAGAAATGATGTCTTTTTTCAGAAGTTAAAATTCTTTATCAAAATGAAGATGGAACAGTCTGACAGAATTTTTAAAAAAAGTAAAAGTCGAATGTAAAAATGCAAATTTTGAGATCCAATCAAACCAGTTTATATTGAGAGGACAAGAAACAAATGTCCAGAGTTTTAACCGGGTTGGTGGATACGAACGATCCACATAGGAGTTGGAAAACCCTGATTCCGAACCGATGGTGCACACGGGCTCCAGGATACTTAGGAAACAAATGGTGTATATTCCTAATGTTGGTCACCGGCTACCTTGGGGCTGCATCTCCTTACGGTGCTCCACTGCCTTGTGGACCAGACCTTTAGGTTAACGGCTCCGGGAGTGACCCCCTGAGAAAACCATCAGCTTCGGTTTGGACACTCGGGCAGTATGTAATGCATATCTATTTGACGCCTCCTTCTACCAGTGTGTTGGGTCGGCTTCCGGAGAACTTCAACGGAGCCTCCAGAGGCCCAAAAAGGAGCCGAAGGGCCCTAGCCAATCAGAGTATGATGGAACGTTCGAGAATTCCAGCGTGGCGTGCTACCATTGGTCGGTAGCATAATATGACGTTAACGGATTGGCTGAAAATATGATGTTGATTTAACAGACGCCAACATCTATAAATACCCTTGATTTTCTGTACTAGAATGAACTTTGGGATAAAGTGTTTCTCTCATACTTGTGTCTTCTTTCTGGAGTTCAAGTCGCTGTGTAGTTCTAGTCTGCGGGTTACGGGAATAGCTTAGGATTCGTATATAGCGTTCAACCTACACGACTTATCACAATGTTTATCTGTTTAGACAAATATTTAAACAATAAATTTAAATTTACTCATTATTATTAGGGAACAAAATTCAACAATTACCTTATTTATTATACTTAATGCTGTTGCTGGTGCAATCCATTCTCTTGCATGAATACCGGCATCAATCCAGATTATTGGTCTTGTCGAATCTGATGATATCTTAATACAAATTAATACATATTATCAATTTATTACAGATGTAATAAATTATCACGTTTTTATTGCTAACGAAAGTAAAACATTCATGTTTTTCGGAAGTGATTTTATGGAGATTGGTTTAATGTATTGGAAGTGCCCACCGTCCCTCGAATGACTGGACATAAGATCCTCTAGTCTTAAAACGAACGCTTTGTGATTAGAACTATGAGTTCGCAAGAACTGAAGGCCCTGAATTCGGTCTGTAGTAAGATCGTATTCGTTCACAACCGATGATTTCCATACAAAACAATTGTCCAATGCACTTTAGTCTTTATTAGTACCTCAAACGAGATTAGTCTTCGATGAATAACATTGTGGTAAACGCTACTCACAAGGTTGCTCTTACGTAGTATTGAGCGTAACGTGGCCTCGATGCTGTCACAGTCGTCAGACGGAGAGAAGAGTTTCTGTGCATCAAAAGCACGGCGTAGGTAAAGCCCTCAAAGATCAGAAGAGAAGACAGTTCTCACTGCAAAACAAAACGCATGATGTGAATGAACGGCCAAAGGGTATGTATACATGTTTGATAAATATTCTGTCCATTGGCTTGAGTTACACTATCACCAAAAATAATACGTTATAGCGACTAGGATATTCCTAATAAGCCAAACAGTGATCTCAGTGTTATGAGGAAATCTATACCACACTGTCGTGTCATTGACAAGTGAGTGAAATCCAAGAGTGACAACCAGTTATAGCTCGTAACAGATAGTTATGTTTAGTTTCAAGTTAAACTACTGAACGAACGAGACCTCACCGTTAAGACTACCTTGACATAGTGATAGCACTTGGATAGTGTGATGACTAAATCTAGTTACATTTGCTGGAACACCAGTTCCTATAGGTCTTAACACAATGGGTAAGTTGGTTGGAGATGTCTAACGTTAAGGGCGGCAAAGTACTGGTCCTAGGACAAAATCATTCTGGCGAAATTTTAGGGTCTGACTGCAGTCGGGTATTTCCTTCCGGCATTCAACATCCACGGCGATGCTGCCTCCTTAAAATCGGTGGGGAACTCACAAGACTATCGACTGTGAGCATAGCACATCTCACTTACGATCGGAAGTAAGACCTAGAAGGGACTAAAACTACTTTTAAAAAGGTTGCGTACACTCCTAATTCAGTTTCTTTTTTAGGTGCATCAAAAAGAACTATCCTTGCATGCTATGGGTTACCGAGTATTAGCAATCACCGTTGTACCTTTAACAGCATACAAGATCACCTTGTTCATAGTCCAACTTGTTATTTTGTGTGCAAGAACTTTGTTTAATTAGGCAAAAGACCTACTGTTCTGGTTGATTTCGTTTTCAAAATCAATGGACACGACGATATTCGTCGATAATCCAGTCTTGTAAGCTCTCATTATTTCACGCTACTAACTTTGTTTATCGATCGATTTTGAATCCACTCTTTTTTATTGATTACCTGATTTTCTGCATTACAAAACACAAAACCTTTCCATGTAACAGATCTACAGTTTCGGAACTCTTAAACGGTATGTAATTATAACCCATCACAATTTTTAGTAAGATATGAAATTAGTTTACCTGACGTTTAAAATTTTATTGCATTACAAAATGTTCTAACTACCTGTAAGTGAAAAGTAACTCTGATGAATTTTACGATACTCACCGTAACTCCCTTCATTGGTCGACCTTCGGCTGTATAACCAAAATCTTCCACCGTCATATACGGACGCGTTTGACTTAACTGGTTTAAATATTGAACGATCTGTCAAGCGAAAAATCAAATATTTTATTAATTTATTTTCAAAAACGGTGGTTAGTTCACTAATCATATATGTCATTTGTGACCGATACAAACCACTGAATTATCCCTAAACAACAGCCCACTTCAACATTTTCTACTTATAATACAATAGTAGTAAAAGTAAGGTGCGATTATCACCAACAAGCAGAAGTTGAATTGCTAGGTGATTGGAGACAGCCAAGAAGAAACTCTAGACCTAATTTTTCGTACCAATTAGTACAGATCAGCAACAAATACCTTTGATGTTGTGGGGATTGATACTTCGTTTGTGATCAGAACCTCTACCATCCAATTCTACAGTCCAAAGTGTTATCACTGAGTTACTGTCTTGTTGGACTTGATCACTGACTGACCACTGAGTATTGGCCAACATCGAATTTTTCTAGTCCTTTTATACTGACTAAATTTTAAAGAGTCACTAGTGGCCACTAGGCAATTTAGTCTCTGGGATGCGGTCAGGAGTAAGAAGAATTAGACAATCATGACACTTGTCATTTGGCGAAACTTAGTAACATGACGAATGCCAACAGACCGAAATTCCACATATATATTTCACAAGTCGTACTAATCCATTAAAACTCCACCTGTAGCTCTTATAGGGTTACTGCCGGTCCCAAGCCCGGGTAAAGGAGGAGGGTTGGGCATGGGGTTAGCGTCCCCATCCCGTAGAAAACTAACTCGCTAAAAAAACGCTTACCAGAAAAAATAATTCAAACCATTTAAACTCTGCCCTGGGAGTTAGAAGGTCTTCAGTTAGAAGAATTATGACGCTTCATGGTGAAAGCCGAGTTCCTTCGGAAGCCACGAGGCCGATGCCCCTTCTAACAACCAGAGCAAAAATTTTTATAGGTACATGGAACGTTCGAACAATGTGGGAAACCGGGAAGACCAGTCAAATAGCAATGGAAATGAGGAGATACAACTTAGCAGTACTGGGAATCAGCGAAACCCACTGGACCCAAGCTGGACAGAAAAGGCTAGCTACGGGAGAGATGCTGCTATACTCCGGTCACGAAGAGGACAATGCTCCACACACTCAGGGAGTCGCTCTTATGCTGTCCAAAGTAGCACGAAATGCACTTGTAGGATGGGAGTCTCACGGATCCAGAATCATCAAAGCATCATTCAAAACAAAGAAGGAGGGGATCTTAATGAATATTATCCAATGTTATGCACCCACCAATGATAGCAACGACGACATTAAAGATCAGTTCTACGAGCGGCTGCAGTCAATCATTGAGAAATGCCCAAGAAAGGACCTAACTATTCTGATGGGAGATCTAAATGCCAAAGTCGGAATAGACAACACTGGATATGAAGATATTATGGGACGACATGGACTGGGACAGAGAAACGAAAATGGAGAAAGATTTGCAAATTGTGTGCATTCAACAAATTGGTCATAGGAGGCACAATATTTCCACACAAGCGTATACACAAGGCTACATGGATCTCACCGGACCACACTACAGAGAACCAAATAGATCATATTTGCATCAACAAAAAATTCCGAAGGACAATGGAAGATGTGAGAACCAGGAGAGGTGCTGACGTAGCTTCAGATCACCACCTAGTTGTAGCCAATTTAAAACTGAAGCTGAAAAAGAACTGGACAAGTGGACAAACAGCACTACAAAGGTTCAATACAGCCTTCCTTCGAGATACTGACAAACTCAATGAATTCAAGATAGCTCTCAACAACAGGTTCCAAGCCTTACAAGATCTACTGAAAGAAGAAGAAACTAGTATGGAGGACAACTGGAAAGGCATCAAGGAAGCATTAACTTCAACGTGTCAAGAGGTTCTGGGCCTAAAGAAACACCATCATAAGGAATGGATCTCTATAGAAACACTGGACAAGATCAAAGAAAGGAAGAACAAGAAGGCAGCAATTAACAACAGCCGAACACGAGCAGAGAAAGTCCAAGCACAAGCTGAATACATAGAAGCAAACAAACAAGTGAAGAAGAGCATTAGAGCCGACAAGAAGAAATACGTGGAAGAACTAGCAACGACGGCAGAAAAAGCTGCTAGAGAAGGAAATATGAAACAGCTTTACGATACAACGAAGAAACTAGCAGGGAAATACAGTCAAGGACAAAGAAGGCAAGCCAATCACCGAAATTCAACAACAGCGTAACAGATGGGTGGAATACTTCGAGGAACTCCTGAATAGGCCGGCTCCAATGAATCCACCGGACATCGAAGCAGCACACATAGATCTTCCTATAGATGTCAACCCACCAACGACGGAAGAAATTAGAATGGCCGTCAGACAAATCAAGAACGGGAAAGCAGCAGGACCCGACAACATACCAGCTGAAGCACTGAAATCAGACATCGAAGCAACCACAAGCATGCTTACCTTCTATTCAAAAAGATTTGGGAGGAGGAACAAGTGCCGATGGACTGGAAAGAAGGACACCTCGTCAAGATTCCAAAGAAAGGAGATCTGAGCAAATGTGAAAACTACAGAGGCATTACACTACTGTCAATACCAGGGAAAGTCTTCAACAGAGTGTTGCTGAACCGGATGAAGGATGCAGTAGACGCCCAACTTCGAGATCAACAAGCTGGATTCCGTAAGGATCGGTCGTGCACAGACCAAATTGCAACACTACGGATCATCGTCGAACAATCAGTTGAGTGGAACTCATCACTATACATCAACTTCATTGATTATGAAAAGGCATTCGACAGTGTAGATAGGAGGACATTATGGAAACTTCTTCGACACTACGGAGTTCCTGAGAAGATTGTCAATATTATCCGGAACTCATACGACGGACTACAGTGCAAAGTAGTGCATGGAGGACAGCTGACAGATGCATTCCAAGTAAGGACTGGAGTCAGACAAGGCTGTTTACTCTCTCCCTTCCTCTTTCTTCTGGTGGTCGACTGGATTATGAAGACCTCGACATCTGAAGGAAAACACGGAATACAATGGACAGCTCAGAATCAATTAGACGATTTGGACTTCGCAGATGACCTAGCCCTCCTATCACGTACACACGAACAGATGCAGATGAAGACAGCCAGTGTAGCAGCAGTCTCTGCATCAGTAGGCCTCAGCATACACAAAGGGAAAACCAAGGTCCTCAAATTCAAAGCGGAAAACAGCAATCCAATCACTCTTGATGGCGAAACTCTGGAAGATGTAGAGTCCTTCACATACCTGGGAAGCATCATCGATGAACAAGGAGGTTCAGATGCAGACGTAAAGGCGAGGGTCGCATTCCTACAATTGAAGAACATATGGAACTCAAAACAACTTTCAACCAATATCAAAGTGAGAATCTTCAATACGAACGTCAAGGCAGTTCTACTGTATGGAGCTGAAACTTGGAGAACTACAACAACCACAATCAAGAAAGTACAAGTATTTATAAATAGCTCCCTACGCAAGATACTCAACATCCACTGGCCGGATACCATCAGCAATAGCCTTCTGTGGGAGAGAACAAACCAACTTCCAGCTGAAGAAGAAATTAGGAAAAGACGATGGAAATGGATAGGACATACATTACGCAAATCGTCAAACTGCATCACGAGGCAAGCCCTAACTTGGAATCCTGAAGGGAAGCGAAAAAGAGGAAGGCCAAAGAACACATAGAAGCAGATATGAAAACGATGAATTACAACTGGAAGGAGCTAGAAAGGATTGCCCAGGACAGGGTTGGATGGAGAATGCTGGTGAGCGGCCTATGCTCCTTCACGAGGAGTAACAGGCGTAAGTAAGTAAGTAAGTACTAATCCATTAAGTTTTAAATTTGCCTATAGCGTCGAAATAGGAAACTAGATGTAACTTATTCCTAAACATAATCCAAAACTAAGAAACGGCCGTCAAAAAGTGTTGATAAAATATTTGAATGATTGAACACTTGTGGCACGTGATCCAGATTTTAGTCCTTATGTGATAACTACAGATAAAACAATCCTATAAGCAAAGTAATATCGATTTCAGATCCCTTTGAGAGATTTGTTATGTACCACTCTCATATGAAAGTAATGGCCGCAATAGAGAACGGAATCGATGAAGTTTAGGGAACTTAAAAAAAAACTAAATCGACCATTCCGTCTGTAGCGAATTTACGGCATAAGAATCCCTATTATCCTACTGGTATGCCTTAACTAAGGTACACAAATCAGAAATCTTAGCGACACCAATATTGTTGATGGTCAGGTAATCTTTTCGTAAATTTTCTCACTGGTTAGTGAAAAATTAACACTGAAATAGAATTGAATTCTCATAAAATCAAGAAAGTTCAGCTGTTTTGATAGATACAAGTTATCAGTTCACGTCTAAACACTTTACGCAACGATCTCTTTGGCAGAAACTGTCGAAATAATATGTTCATACCTTAACATTCTTCTTATAAATGTATATAATTTCTAATAGTAATAAATGTAGTTACATGTATCTGACTAATTTAATGATTATAAATATCGTTAATTACCTCATTAAATGATTTGTAATATGGTCTATTACGTCCTGTTCTTAAATAACTGGATACTCTTCTTAAATGATTCTCACGCTTTTCATCAAGTATTGCTCTGAAATACGTATTTCCCCATTTGTATAAGTTGAAAACAATTTTACAGAAAATTTAATGATTATCAGTACAAGGGTTTCTGTAATTTGTTTAATATTGTTGAGGTCAAGAATCAATGTAAGTTAGACTGTGATTAAAAACCAAGAAACGTTGGACAGCTGTTTCGTTCTAGTACGTTACTCCTACGTAGTGCGTATCCAAGTCTTCATTGAGTAGACAATCCATGACCTTCAAGTTTCACAGTGAGAGTTTTATTGTTAGATTATCGAATCAACATAGAATGACCTATGTTTGACTTCAATTAATTCGCGATACTGCACGTTCGTCGTTCATTGTCTTTAGTGGATGCCTATATCGAATTCGACACAATCTAATACTTCTAAATTTTCAATATTTGTTTAACTTAGGTCGGTTCGTGATTTCACCAGAATGAGATAAGTTGTGTTTACATTATTTTAGAATGTCTTTCGGACTTTTAGTCAATAGAAAGATAAAAGTGTACGTTCATTACACTGACCTTCAGTCAAAACGGTTTATAATTATTGACATTATTCGCTTTTATTACTAAAGTTATATAAAGATGATCAATGACTATTTGTTTACGAACATTTATTACCTCTCAAATAATAATAAGTTGAAAAGATTTTTTTCTCCATTGATCTAATTTACCTGCATATGATGTGGTGTACATAAATAGATATAATGTGACTGGTACTTGTTTACGCAACCACAGCTAATACTCTGACGTAGTGGTCAGACTTGCATATCATGATGACTCAACTTAGTTATATTGGAACACTTGTTCCTTTAGGTCCTGACATGAAGCGCGGATCGGTTGCAGAAAAGTAAGGCTTTAGACATCAAGCCTGAGTTGCAAAAGTAATATCATAATGCTCACTGTACTGAGATATTACAGTGATATATCCCCCTACCATCCAATAACAATAAATCTATCCTTATTCACATTGAAATACCTATTTCACTTTTGTATCACACTTTCCGTTTAGCTAATTTTTTATTTACATTTTAAGTGACCAATTCAAAGATGATCACGTAAATAAAGGCTTAAAGCCCTACTTATGAAAGTAAATGATCAAATAATTTCTAAAACGATTATATTGTACCCAACGTGAATGTTCTACTAAGTTTCACTAAAGAGAATAATCATTGTCAGTAAAGGGTTGTGGATATTATTAACTTCCATTGATTCCCATTTGAGCTGTCGTGGGTGCTAACTGCTAAGGAGTCCCATATTGAGGTGAAAAGGGCTTCTAGTTCTTCCACACTTCCGATTGTGATCTAATTTATATCGGTCTATGATTTCAATGAAAGAAATATGATCATTTCACAAGACAACACTTGGTACAACCAACCTACTTTTGTAAATTACTGACAGTTATTTCATAAGAAGTATTCAAATGATGTAAATAGTTTGTAAGATTTTGAAATCCTACAGGAGATACTGATATGTACATTGAGTTATTTGTATCTCTAGGAAACGTCCATACATCATAGTTCTCCTATACAAGGGAAAATAACAAATGAAAATGATTAGAAACTAAACGTAGTTTTAAATTTTATAGTTTGCATCCCTGATTGGTTTTAGTTAGTCAACCATTAAAAAACTAGGAAGAATAATTATATATACTCAGATGTTAAGCAGTTTGTCAAAATAATGCCGAAATGTTGAATGATATGTTTCCTAAAATTTCAAAAACAGTCTTGTGAGTTTTTCAAAGTTAGACGCTTAAAATATTGGTTGCCGGCTTATCTCGAAACCTGAGGTCCCTTCTTTTGACCCATGTTGTTGTTATAGGTACACACTGCTGAAGAGTTCCACACAACGACAAAATGACAGAGTTAATCTGAAAATATGATTAGGTTTTAAACAAGTTAACTAACATGAAATATTTACAATTGATTGATTATTAAATAGTGACTAATGCCATGTTTGTCTAATCATCTAATGCTGATTGAATTCTACCAACCAAGTATTGTAACCACTAGTGTCAACACCACATACAACACAATGGAACGTTAGGTGATTGATAGGTGTTAGTAGTAAAAACTGGACCACACAAATTTCATGCTACTTGGTATACGTCAACAAGGTGTACTTATAATCTTGCTGATAACTGCTAAATTGCGAGAAACCTAAGTACAGGATTTCCTGTTAGCTACCACGAGCCACTTAATATGAAATATTCATTTCACTTTTCTAGTATATTATAGTTTTCTAATATAAAAATCTAGAATTCAAATGCTTTGTTTGAAATTTTTATTTCCATTCATTTTCTCCATTTTTGACATTTTTCATAAAATTTAAATCAAGTCTATTAAAAAATACCTCGACGGTTTCGTACACTACTAATATCACTATCACTATTACTACTACTACTACTACTACTACTACTACTAATAATAATAATAATAATAATAATAATACTTTTACATCAAACTGTGCCTTTTTCTGCTATTTTATTTCTGTTTCATATATACAATAATTAAACACAACTAAGATAGTTATAAGCAAAGATGGATAGTGGCTAGCAGTGGGATCCAGGACGCGCGTTTCGTCCTGTTTGGGACTCGTCAGCTGGATGTACCTGCATCTCAGAGTTGATGTTCGCTCTGAGACTCGAACTCAGTACCGTTCGCTTCAAGTCCCAGAGCGAACATCAACTCTGAGATGCAGGTACATCCAGCTGACGAGTCCCAAACAGGACGAAACGCGCGTCCTGGATCCCACTGCTACCCACTATCCATCTTTGCTTATAATGCTTGTAAATTATGGCAATATCGAGGCATACGCACAGTATGCACATATGCCAATAAGAGACTGATCAATTTCAGTCCTAAAACATCAATGGGAAGATCCAAGTAAAACAATACCAAGTGAATTACAACTAAGATAGTTGTTTAAATTAACCAAACTTAAATATATATTACGAGAAAATTCTGAATTCTTAAGTCAGCATATATCTTATTTGCCGGTTTCTCAATAAGTTAATTACAACGAACAATTATTAACTGGAAAACTCGTCGAAACAAAAACGCAGTGATAGGTAGCTCCGTCCAAATTTGGTGTTGTTCAGGACTCATAGTTTTCAATATTTTTAATGTCTAGGTTAATTTGTGTTGAAGGGTCTGTATCGGTTGTGAAACCGCTTAAAGCTAGAAAACAGTGGGCAGATGTTCCGTACTAAAGTGGGACAATTCAGATATGCGCTAAAACAACCCTACTTTGGATTAACACTAGGCTTTTCAAGTTACACAGATATAAGCAACTCATTAAATCGCTGATTTAAAATCCAATGGTATAAATATTACGCAGAGATCAAAATGATAGGCATTTCTTATTCTGAATGTTTGGGAGGGTCATGGTTCACCCCTGTCGACTGTACGTAGATACCAAGGAAACTCAAGTTATAAAGACAGTGATTGTAGTGTTGTCATTCATTGATATTCAGGGTATTACTAATTTATCACTAGTTCAGTTTCTTGAAATTGGAATGAATTATCAAATATCAATTTCAGTAAACGTATGACTGGCCATGAAACAAATTAACACAAAATTAAATTGATGAGATCAATATCAAAGGAGTTGAAACAACTATTTCTACAACGATAATGAGGAAGACTAAAAATTTAGAGTAGGGTTTTAAAAGACAAGACGATCAATATTCAAAGACTTCATGAACTTATGATGTGTTTTGGTTTGTCTATTCCTGAATTTTTTCTAATCAACGTCTACGCAAGCAAACATCATCCATCGAGGTATAGGACATTTGCATATCCATACGGATAACTTGATGACACCCTGACAAAACATAAATAAACGCGACAACTAAGAATGTCTAATATCCTATGAATACATTTTAAACCAATCATCTATAGTCCGATCAAAAAGCCTTCATTAATTGATCCGCCTTAAACTTTATCTAAAATATTCACTGTACGGAGTCATCAATATCGTTTGCGATTGCATACATAAAGACTACTTGGCTAATTAAAACTAGGCAATAAAATACACTGATCAGTATTTCAAATAAATTTAGTGGGAAACCATCGTAGTTTATAGTTATGATTATGTTGTTACAAAAGAGATAAAATAATTACACAAATCTACAATTTAAGTAAATACATATCCTTGATTTCTATTGTTTACAAATTGGTTATCATAGAATTTGTATTATCATTGAAATGAAATCGATAAGGAACCTACCGGTTCGTTAAGATTTAGATTAATAATTGTATTTATAATTTGAGGATCTGAAATTCTCATTCGTAACACTTTGAAACTGTCAAAACAAATTTAAAAAATTATTATACGAAAGGATTATGCTCACGAAAAACGTGAAAATAATGAAAAATTATGTTACTAAAATACTGAATACTTGTGGTGTTCGTATGGACTAATGATTATTTTGTACTTGATATGTACCTGATTTCGAATTCTAAATACAATATGTTCATTTGTGCTCACCTACTTCCATTGGCTTTAAATTGCACTATTTCTGGAATTCCCAGTTCGTCTAATAATTCAAATACTTCTAATTATCTCAATACTATTTATGGAAGTAAAAGTCTAGAATAACTTCGGAATAAAACACAGTGATACAATTATACCACTTCGATAAACAATGAAGACCTTTAGGGTATCTTTCATAAGGCTGTTGTAAATACAACAAACTTTAGAATTTCGACATTTCAACCATTTTACATACTTGTTATTAAGAAGTGTCTCTTTAGATTCAAACCAGTACTGATCAGTTTTAAAGAAAAAGATACTTAATCAGTACCATTCATAAAAAAACAAAAAGGAAGAGAAATAATGTTAAGAAGAATAATGAAAGCGTTTGAGAGATAAATACAACACCAACTATGTCAATAAATCATTACTGATAGGTTATGTTTAGAAAGTATGCTATAAATGAACTTGCAGAATTGTTGGTTACCAATTGAGGAGAATACCTTATTAACCAACCTTTTGAAAAGATTATTCTATTTGTAATATAAAAAATAACTCTCAATAGGTAATGATTTCTATATTTGTCTATATTCACTATTGTGTAAATTTATTTTATTGAAGGTAAGATATACCTGAATAATCACAATGGCTAACTCTAAATATATCGGCGAATTACTCAAAATTTTAAATGTATGTTATTAACATATTGTCAAGGTTAAAAGTGAAAAACTGTGTTCGGTTTATTTTATTTTTTATCTACACAACCCTTTTTATGTATGGACGATAACTCAAGTTCATTTTATGAAATATGTAAAAAAGTTAATTGGTCTTAGTTTAACAATAGATTAAAAAGATTTGTACATTTCCATAAAAACGTTAAATAAACAGTTATTAAATGGACCGAAGTGATGTGTTCAATGTACTGGGTAAATATATCTTTGACAAAAATTCCTTATCAGTGGGATAACTATATATCCTTTTGGCATAGCTATAATTGTCATTTTTAGACAAGAAGTAATCGGAGGTAAGCAGAATCGATAACCGGTCATTTTTTTTTATCTCAAAGACATAAATCGTGTTGTCGGTATAATGTCATCTTACTACTTTGTATCACCGTATTTTGTACCAAACATCATGGTAAGAAAAATCAACTGGCGGAGTAAATGAGATGGATATCAAGTCAGGGGGACCGCACTTACAGTTTGTTCAGAATGCTTCTGATTATAACAAAAAATGATTTACACTTTACAGAACATTTATTCAATAAAATTGTAGGCTTCTTTCAGTGCGTATATTTTAGGTTCTGCTCCATTTTATTGTTCCTCGAAATTTATATTAAATAACAATAATGAGAAAATTTGATGGAAACCCATAAAATCATTTATGTGGTATGAGTTCAACAACTCATAGGAAGATTTAATGTACATTTTCCATAAATTACACTTCGAAACAGTAAGACATACTTTCTCAAGTACAACAATTTGAAGCTCATTATATCGGAATTTTCAATCCATTATTTTAACTTTAATTTAAAGCTTTCTTCATGATTTGTTTCAAGTAGCTGATGGTTTTTACACTCTCGAGTTTCATTTAAACTGCTCATTTCTGCGAACAGTAACAAACTATGTTAAAATAATTGCATTAATTCTTGTATATTAGCAAGTTTAAGTAAGAAAAGACTAAGCATAGTTTAATTATGAATAATTAACTATTTTTAAATATATACTAGTTATCAGATTAGACGTTTATTCTGTTTTATGGTAATTATTCATTTGAATATGCTCAATCGACCAGCTTGACTTCATGGAATATTACTACTCAGTCGTGCATGTTCCATTAATCAGTGTTTTTCGGATTTTTAATTGAAACAAGCTGATAAATTCTCAAAAATTATCAGGATTATTTTTTGTAGTTTGGAGTAATTCAACAAAGTCATCCTATTTCTGTTGGATATGCTTATACTTCATTCATATTTTGGACTAGAATCTTTGGGTTAAACCATTGAAATCATTAAATTAACCAGTTTGATTCATTAAATGTGATCAGTTTAAAATAGTCTCTTAGTCATCCTTAAAATGCTTACTACAGTGAAATAAGATGACTCAAATCCGACTTACATATTCACTAAGTTTCCTTTATGATGGAATTATTTCTGACTCACTGATAAATTTTTACCATAGTTTTTATAAAGTCGATGACTACCACCAAAACATTTAGCCACAAAGAGTACTCATATAAAATATCAACGTGGATTTTGCTGTATTGAGCAGTCCTTCAGGAGGTTGATTGTGGCCAGAATAGCTTGACGGTAAACATCTCAATCTGTAAAACTGGGTGACACGAGATGGAATCCATCAGAGAGTATCACTTCCCTTAAGATTACCAGTACATCTGGCTGGTGAGTACCAAATACCATGAAACCAAGATCACCTGGTTTCCTGTCGATTACCTCTAAGTATCACCGTATGTTATAACTCAAGTTTACTTTAGTACTTGTTCACAAATTTAATTATTTATCCGTTTTCTGAATCCACGTAATAAAATCACTTTTAGATTTTCCGAGTTTACATACTATTTTTTTCAGTGGTGAATTTTAATAAATGCTTTTTATCCAGTTAAGCAAATAAATATAAACATATTTCATTTTAAAAAATGAACCAACGTTGAGTTATCATTATCATGATGTTTATACAGTCGATGGAAAATATTCAAACCTTAGACAGGTCAGCTAGGGCTTTTTAAAGTAGAAATTATTCATCAAAATAAACACTTATTATGAATGTCTATTTTCAGCCGGCTTTATTATGTTTAAGTACAGAATTAGTGTTGTTTGCAATGTATTACATCAAAATAATCCGATCTTGATACGTTTTTCGCAATTTAATGGTAGTGTGCTGTGTGCTACTGATGTCGACAGATATAAGTAGTATGTATCATCAATAGAAAGTGAAATTCCTGGCAGAAGAGGACTAAGAAGATCGAAGAAAAGAGAACGAGAACAAAGAATGACTGGAACAATCAAGTCTAAAACAACTGATTGAGATTTTGCAAATGAAGTACTCACAGTATGATTCTCAGAATTTACTAAGAGCTTCTGTAAGTTTTGCATAGAACAATAAACGTCTCAAGGTTAGCCACTAATAAATGCAATTTTTATAATTAACATAAATTTACTATCAAGTTTCTCATTAAACATGAAAGTAGCATACCTGGTCAGCTTACACAACTTGTAACTTACTTATAATAATGAGCATGTGATGCGGTTATAGTATTAATTAAGATTATTTCAATTAATGAAAGTAACAGTATTATTCCAGAAATGGAAACATTCAATATTAATATGATTTTCATTGTATGTTATCTTGTGCATTAGTTCATTCTGTTAACAAATTCTATGTGTTCAGTGGTAATTTGACGACATTCAATATAAACAGTTTCATTTTTATTCTCGTATGTTATATCAGCACTCCGGTATTATGAATTCACCACACGTGATGTAATATTGAACGCATCACGACAAATTAACTGTTAGGTAAATAAGGGAATATCAATTTCCGATATAAATATATATGAATAAGTGGATGAAAATATAGACAGATGTACATATATATAGACAAGGTATAAAATTACACATATATGACCTGATAAATTCAGTAATGTATAAACATCAGATGTAAATATATTCCACATTTATCTAAATTATAAATTGAAAAATTGTTCGAAATTAATAATTTACATGAACTGAGTTATTGATTGGAACATAACTAGTAAACATGGATAGATAACGTACATACACAGCTTTTAAAATATTTAAAGTAACGCATTAAACAGATACATAATGATTTATAATGTAACTGTAAGCACAAATACTTCGAAACTCCGAAAACCTAAATATATATAAAAAGACTAGCTTATTCATAATCAAAAAGTCATATCAGAAATCGACTGACATGATCAGTGATAATTGCAAATGTTCTTATGCGCAAAG